ATTAACAAATTTAAAAAAAAAACAAAAAAAGAGAAAAAAAAAAGAAAGGAAAGAAAACTAAAAGCCTAAAAGAGTCTTAGAAGCTGAAATCACTTGAGCCAAGGCATTAGGTATTCACTTAAAGAGTTATGGATTCACAATCTGGACAAAAATCCAAGTCTAGGGGAATTATAAGGAGAACTTGAAGAAAGGAGATCAGAAATCTTGAAGCAAGAAGAATGTGACTGAAACTGTGGGGGCATTTACAGTTCCATCCTTTCTTGCTGTTTTGCATAATGTCTTGTCTCTCCAGAAAAAAAGTAACCTTAAACACATCAGCCTTACCATTGAAAAGCTTTTTTGATACCTAACCTTGAATGCCTTGTTTAATATCATTTTGATGAGAACAACTGAAACCTTTAATTAATGTTAAAAGCTAGTTAACTGGAAGTTAGTTCTAAGTATGTGGATTTTCGCATGACGGATTAACGGACTAATTATGTTTGTATTTTGGTGAGAATTTTCTAGACTTGGTCTGATTGATGCATTGTCCATAATTAAGGTCTAGAAGTATGGTTGCTGATATTTTTGAGTTCCCTCCCATTTTTGTTGATTGATATTTTTCAGATTAGATCTTGTTTTGTTTAAGGACAAACAAAGTCTTAAGTCTAAGGGAGTTGATAACATCTGATTCTGACCATTTTTCACCATTGATTTCAAATGCTTTTGCAAAGGTTTTACTTTGTTTTAGGAACTTTTATTATGATTTCCATGTCTTTGTAGTTTCAAGGCTTTTTTCAGAAAACTTGAGGAATATGATGGCAAAATGGAAGAAATCAACATTTTTAGCTCAGAGTCAAACCGTCAGAAGTTCAGCCTCAAATAAAGACTTTCTCAGCGTCTGATCCAGCTCAAATTTGGAGACAATTAAGAGGAGACAACCATATTTACATAGCACTTTACATCACAAAGATCCAGCGGTGCAATCAAAAGATACAAGGAGAACAAGTTAACCCAGTTCACCAGTCCCGGAAGACTCTCACCTGCGGCAAAAGCATATTTTACCTGCCCTGGAAGACTCTCACCCCTGGTGGACATTAGGACGAGCCACAAGGCCCAACATCAAAGCTCACTTCGCCATTCTTCTTCAGAGAAGCCCTAAATGAGACCTGAAAGACCTTAGGACCTATAAATATATTGTTTAGCAGCCCTAAACGGGTGTGTGCTCCTGTAATGAGATTTTGAGCCACCAAACTCTGCTTTTCTAGGGTTAGGCGATGGAGATGGGGATTCTTTCCCAGATCCATTGTTCTTTCTCCTTTTTATCTTATTAACTTTTTTGTTTCATTCTTTTGCATTCTTCTATGTCTTTCATAAATCATCGCATTATGTAGATTAGTCCCAGAGAGTCAAGTTGCTTGAAGATATCGACAAGCATATATATCGATTAGGATGATTATTGTTCTTAGCCATATTCTGGATCTCATCTCTTCTAAGTTGTTCGTAAAGCATGAGAGTAGATTCATGACCTATTCTCTGAGTATAGGATCGATCAGAGCCACGAGAGTGCTGTATCAGATCATCCATACCTATTTTCAGAAGAACATAGTCGCTATAGAAGTCGATCGTTACATATAGAGAAAATGTGAGCAGATAAATTCAATGTCCAATGCATGATCTTAAGTTTAGCATGAGAGCGAGAGTTAATTGCTAGATCTAAGAGATTAGTTGATTAAGGTGACGACCGTTGGTTAATCATACATATGTTTATTCTAGTTCAATGCAGATTTGCAGAAACAGATGAAGATAAATCGCATGGAGGCTAATTGGAAATGCCATCATACATCGATAAGAGTGACCCGGAGCAGTCTAAATCGCCACCTATGAGTTTAAGAGTTTTAGTTTTAGTCGATATGCTTTAGATGTTCTATTAACAATTTATCCTGCTTTGCATTTCTTGTGAATATTAGATTAGGTTTAGTTTAAGATCTTAACCAAAAACCCCAAAACTTTTATTGGTTTATGAGTTTGCTTATTTCCCAGTTTGTTGTTTCTCGCAGATTAGACATCCTCCCTGTGGATCGACACCCTAAGTCCTATAACATACATCTGTGCACTTACAGACATTAGAGTTTTATAAATTTAAAACTTTTGGAGAACCAACGGGCTTGTAAAAAACAACCCTAGGCCCACAAGCCCATCACTTGCTTTCTTTGTGGTGTCCATGAAGAAAACAGAGATCGTTTGTTCTTTATGTGCCCATTCTCAGTTGAAGTTTGGAAAAATACTATTTCAAGGCTTCGGTTCTCGTCTCCTCCTATTTGTTAGAATGCCATTCTTCATTGGCTTCTGTTGGCATCGATTAACAAAGATATCCGTCTGACTCTTCTAGCTTGGCAAGCTTGTATCTACGAGTTATGGCGGGAAAGATGTCGCAGATTCTATGACGGAATCTCCTTCACTCTCACGACAAAGATCTTTCATTTGGCTCCAAGTGTGGTTTGTAACAAGGCGCAGAGACTTCTTCTTCTAAATCCAGAGAGAACTTCTCTTTTCGTCTGTTGGTCTTCTCCTTTGCAGCCAGTGTCGTGAAGTGGAGTTTGTTCGTTTCTTAGCTTATTTTTTTTTATGTTTTTGTAATAGATGAGTGGTTTCATCAGGTTCCTTTGTATAATTATTATTCAATTTATTCAAGTAAACCCTTTAAATAAAAAAACAAAATAAAAAAGAAATTGGAGAATTGAAAATTTTATGTCTTTATTTGAAAATAAAATTTTATTTAATAAACAATAATGCAGCATAACAGCAAAAGCGCATCTGGTGTAGTGGTATCATAGTACCCTTCTACAGTACTGACCAGGGTTCGATTTCCTAGATGCGCAATTTATTTTGTATGCATTTTTATCTTAACGATTTTTGTATGGGTAATAGGCCTGATTGATACGCATTTCGATTTTCCCTAAATAAAATTTGACTTGTACATCTAAAGTTATTTTTTAACCATGGTATTTCAATGTATATAAAATTTCATAAAATGTTTCTATTTTCTCTTTTACTTTATAAAACCCTTTTGTTAAATATGCTAGTTATGTAACTACAAGTCATTTATCTATAGGTTTGAATTTGTCTGCCTTTTCTGTTGCATATTGAATTTCAGAGAAAATATCCTACTAATATATGTCAAATACGGTAGTAATCAAAGGAAAATGTCAGACTATGTTATTGGCGTTGCAGGAGGAGTCCTACTACTTTTCATGAGTTTCTTTTACCTTTTGTTTATAGCTTTTCTTTACTCTATAATAAGTTTGTTAGTTTCTCCCGTAGGATATTTTGTACTCCTAGTTAGAGCATATCCATTGGGGTTTTTTACCCAAATTTTGACACAAAAACCTAGGTATTTCCTTTAAATTTTGATGAATGACAAAGAGATTGTCTCTTATGCTAGGTGAAGGACTATGATTGGTTAGATATATTTTTTTAATGTTTTAATTTGTTTTTCTCTCTCCAAAAAAATATTAAACTATTTCTAAGAGATTTATGGGTGGAAAACACTAATGAAAATGCTCTTAGGTTTTTTGAAGTAATGCAACAAGTTGGTCGACAAAAAAAAGTTTCATAAAAACATATTAACTATGAAATTTGAAATTTAAAACCTCGAAAGGCATAGGAAAAACAAGAGGACATGAACGATTTTATAAGACACAAATTTTAGGAATCATAAGTTTCCACTCAAAACCGATTCGTAGTGAGTAAATAGACTCGTATACTTTATACTTCATGGGTTTCATAATATGTGAATATATGATGTAAATAATTATTCAAAAATTATTATTTAATATATAGATTAAAAACAATTTAGTGTATCATCAAAAAATTCAGAATATAATTAGTCACCAAAAATTTAATAAATGTGAAAGTCGCATAAATATGTGAGAACATCTTATTTGAAAACAAACAAAAATAAATTATCAATCAATCATCAGAGTATCAAACACTTTCAATCAATTAGAAATCGATTTTTTTTTTTAATAGGGTTTTGAAGTGTTTAAACAACAGGTTCTATGGCTCTCAGTTTTAGAAGATACCTTTTCCACCTTTGGATTTCTGACAGGCTAATGAAACTGGGAGCTAATAGACCTCAGTTAGCCGCTACAAATTCCAAGGATTGATCACCAAAACTGGAGAAGCTGCTGGTTGAAGAAGGAAAAACTCGGATCTGGTTTTTTTTTTTTTCGGTTGATCGCCGTGTACTGTAAGTGTGCGTGAGGGCGCGTCCGACGTTGGATCGACAAACGGTTTTCACCAGTAGATTCGTCTCGTCGAGGGCTTCGATTTGATATGTAGATCATCTTCTGGTTCCTCACGGTTTGGAAGATATGCGTCTTTTAAGTTTCGACTTGCTTTTAGGGTTTTGGTGGTGGCCGGATTTATTAGGGTTTTTCGCTCAGAGAGTCTTATCGTGCTGATAACGTGTTGTGAAAACTTAGAAACTTTATTAATCACTGGAATGTATATATAGAGTACATAAGGAATCTAGGTTAAGTACAATGCCCTGATGGGCCTAATGGGCCAGTATAAGAGTTCATATGATATGTGTTATAACACTAAACATGTTATATAAAAATCTTTCAATTTTTGATGTAGGATAATGACAGCTTTCTCATACCATTTTGTGGGAATAAACATTTATGGAAGACTCCACAATTCAGAAATTAGAACCATGGCCTGATACCTTTTTAGTAATTAAGGTTTTATGGTTTCCAATAGTTATCAAACAAAATTTAAGATTTTAATTCGTTATACTACTAGACACTAAAAATAATCCCCATTTCTAAGTAAATTTTACGAAATTCAACCTAACATTGCAGTTTTCACGTTTTTGTTTTCTTTGTCAACTGACTCAACTTGCACTTTTCTTTTCCTTTTTGGCGGCGTCAACTTGCAATTATGATAATAATATGAAAAACAACTTTGCAATACAAAATTAACTTTACTCAATAATTTTTCTTGTGTTACTCATTACTCGTAGTAGCTACCAATTGTAGATGCAGAGATTAGCAAGAATGGAGGAGAAAGAAGGATCTCTTCACGTAGCCATGTTCCCATGGCTAGCTATGGGTCATCTTCTTCCTTTCCTTCGTCTCTCAAAGCTCCTTGCACAAAAGGGTCACAAAATCTCCTTCATATCAACACCAAGAAACATCGAAAGACTTCCCAAATTACCATCAAACCTCTCTTCCTCCATAACTTTCGTATCTTTCCCTCTCCCTCCTTTCCCAAACTTACCTCCTTCCTCAGAATCCTCCATGGACGTACCTTACATCAACCAACAATCTCTCAAATCCGCTTTCGACCTTCTCAAGCTACCAGTAACAGAGTTTCTCCGACGATCGTCTCCGGATTGGATCATATACGACTACGCTTCTCACTGGCTTCCATCAATAGCGATGGAGCTCGGAATCTCGAAAGCTTTCTTTAGTCTTTTTAACGCTTCAGCTCTCTGTTTCATGGGACCTCCATCGTCGCTTATAGAAGACTTTAGATCTACGCCGGAAGATTTCACGGTGGTTCCGCTGTGGATCCCGTTCGAGTCAAAGATCGTGTTTCGTTACCATGAGGTCACTAGGTACGTTGAGAAGACGGAGGAAGATGTGACCGGAGTCTCTGACTCGGTCCGGTTCGGTTACTCGATAAGTGAGAGCGATGCAGTTTTTGTACGTAGCTGCCCGGAGTTTGAACCGGAATGGTTTGGTTTACTACAAGATTTGTATCAAAAACCGATCTTTCCTACCGGGTTTCTTCCTCCGGTTAGCGAAGACGTGGACGGGGAGGAAGAAGATGCTACATGGGTTTGTATAAAGGAGTGGCTTGATAAGCAGCGAGTTAACTCAGTGGTGTACGTGTCTTTAGGTACTGAAGCGAGTCTTCCTCAAGAGGAGCTCGTTGAGCTGGCTCTTGGATTGGAGAAATCAAAAGTTCCTTTCTTTTGGGTTCTAAGGAACGAGGAGACATTGATTCTTGACGGATTCGAGGAACGAGTCAAGGGACGTGGTATGGTTCAGGTCGGGTGGGTTCCGCAGGTAAAAATACTGAGTCACGAGTCAGTAGGTGGGTTCTTGACGCATTGTGGTTGGAACTCGGTTGTGGAAGGGTTAGGGTTTGGACGAGTTCCGATTTTTCTTCCGGTGTTGAATGAGCAAGGATTGAACACGAGGTTGTTGGAGGGAAAGGGGATTGGTGTTGAGGTTCCAAGGAACGAGAGAGATGGTTCATTTGATTCTGACTCAGTTGCTGACTCGGTTAGGCTGGCGATGGTGGATGGTGGAGGCGAGTCGAAAAGAGCAAATGCAAAGATGATGAAGGGTTTGTTTGGGAACAAGGATGAGAATATCCGATATGTGGACGAACTTGTAGGTTATATGAGAAGTAAAGGATCATCTCATTAAGTGATCATAGCTGCTTAGCAAAATTTATTTGAATTCTAGATCATATCCATAGGGTAGAGATGTGATGATATGGCTATAAACAGAGTTTTTCTTGTAGTGTATATGGCTCGCATGTAAAACAGATTTGTATGATTTGAAACGTACCAAGTCAAAATGCTTTTATTTACTAGACTTTTAAAGTTAATTTTGCAACAAATTATTACACTTACTTTGATGTTATACAAACTCTAACTACGTAGATTGTCTTCTAAAACCATGGTTCAGTTTTATGGTGATTAATATTTTTAAAGCCTAAAGGTGAAGCATATACATCTAATAAAGTAAAATCCTAAAGTTATTAATTAATGGATTATCAGAGTGATATATAGATGGTTGATTGAATTCTTAAGAATAGAAATTAGAATTATATAGAACTCTAGCTCCTGATTATGGGGACATGGACTGTCAACCGTATCTTATCACATGATATATGGATTCACAGAACACAAACTGGCTGTCTTTGATTCTCTTTCTATCATTTCTCTACTTAATTAACTATTGTTTATGTCAATAAATTCTTTATTTATTGGTTGGTCGATCATTACAAATACGAAGCTGACATCTTAAGTTGTTCAAAGGCGACAAAAGAAGAGGAAGTTATTTCTTTAATAGCTGGCACGAGCCTATCTTCCCTGTCATTGCCAAGTGGTGGTATCATACTGAATTTTGGATTTTGGCGGTGATTACTTACTACAACTGCAACTACTAGTGTGACACATTATCTTTCTTTTTCTTTTTTTTGAAACAATAGTGTGACACAAACACAATACTGTATATTAATTATCTTATTGCAACGAAGCGACCAAACTGACGTCCAATAAGAATTTTACACGTCAATAAAGCTTAATGAAAAAATAGAAAAGGAAGTCATTGACAGGGAGAACATAAGGTATGATGATTGGTGGTACACTTATTTTTCCTTATTTCTAAGTTTTTCAATATTATAATTGTGGATGATTCTTATTTTTGTCATAATTGTGTCTTCTTAGTTGACAATTTAGGTTGTATATTCTTAATTGAATAAGTTAGTGATTATTGAACGATGTTCAACAAAAAAAAAGTCATTATTGAACTTATGAAAGTGTTCATAAGTGAAGAAGAAAGAAAGAAAGAACGAAAGTGTTAATACTAATAGATGAACGAAGACAAGAACCAAAACACGAAGAAGAAACGAGAGGAGATCCAAAGAGAAAAGAAAACCAACAACCGAATTCATTTTGAAAAATTGATCGGTTTGGAGTCAAAAACAAAGAAAAAAAAATCAAAAGTTTGAATTGGTCGGTTTGGTTTATAATCTCACTCATAAGCATGACACTGATAAATATTTTAACTCATAAATAATAAAACTCAAAGAAATTAATACTGTTTGGACTAAAATTATCACAAAAACTAGGGTGAACAATTTGGCATCAAGTATTGTTTAAGCGAATTATTTAGAGTTAAGTGTAATTTAATTTAGGTGGATTATGTAGCGTTCAATCTTCATTTTATTCTTTCATCCGTTGAATTTGTTTTATATATAGGTCTTTGGAACCGATCTACGAATTCTTGAATTGTTCTGCATGTTTTGGAATTTCGTTAATTACAGTTAACAAATACAATAATTGTGATATTCCAGCCCAGCAGGAAATCTAGTAAAAGGCCAATTTTCCAATCTCTGTAAATATAAAAGAAAAAACCTTAGAAAAAAAAAACCTCGTTCTTTGCAAAATTACCCCCAACCACAGAAAAAGAGAGATATTGACGGGCAGCCACAGAGCCATCGTCGCTGCTGATCAGCCTCTTGTCAGCGCGCCGTCCCAGCCGTTGCGCACTGTTGTCCGAGTCAGCCAAACCACTGCAAGCTGCCACCGAGCCAAGGAGGAGCCGCCGAGAGCCTTTACCATCCCAATGTCTGCTTGATTCCATCATCTCTCAGTCTCCTTGATCCAGATCTGCAAAACTGCCAATGTGAGAAGTAGATATAGGCTTTTAATACTTATTTGTTTGCTTTTAGTGTATTGAGTCTAGGATTATACAAATAAATTGATTGATGCATTTAGAAAGATTATGAGAAAGTGAATTGATTAAGAAAAACATTAGAGGAAGCACCAGCATATATGTCTGTTCACCTGGCTGATTGAATAATGCTTGTAAAGTAGCTAGAGATAGGTGATCGACCTGTGAAAGGGCATAGTGGTTCGATAATTGCTTGTTGAGGTTCATACCAAGAAGAAAGGATGATCCACATCGCTTGGTGGTTGAGGTGAACCATGTTAAATGTCTTCGTGATCAAAAGAGTTTGTCATGTCTTGAACATGATGAAGAGTTTACCATGCTTTGAGCATGACAAGAGTTTGTCATGGCTAGTACCATGATGATCCCATGCGAGTGCTTTGTTTGTGTGCTTGTAGAGCACTTTTTGTTGCTTGTGTAGTTTTAAGCTTGATATGTCAGAAATAAATGAGTAATGTAAAAGGAGTATAGACTTATTTTTTATTGGGTAATTTCCCAATTACTCATCCCTCAATCTTTCTTTTCAGGTGAATACGAAGATAATGATTTGGATGGATATGAAGAGAAGTAGTTCAAAATAATGTGCTTTTCGGGATGAATTTTTTTTAAACTTTATTTCCATTTTAGTATTTATTTTCAAGATTTTTCGGTATTTTGTTTCAGTTTTAATTTAAATTTAAGTTATAAATTTTTAATTGCAAGACTGTGGTTTTAATAAATGGTTCGGTTTGTCTGGTAGACTGATCGGGGGGTTTACAATAATAGCACTGCATATAGGACAGCAAAAGTGGGTAGTGTCCTTGACCAATCTGATCAGATTCTTGACTCGATATAACAGTTAGATGAAAACTTCATAGTCTCATTTTTTCACCAAAAAAATTAATTCACTAATCGCTAAATACGTCATCAATTATTGCCTCTAACTAGTGGTAATATTCTAACATGTTTCATGATAAAAAGATATTAAATTTTTGGATCCAGGTACGGACGTATGTATATACCATTTTTTCCCCCAACAAATGTATGTAAAATGTTTACCACTATTTAACAAAAGATTCGTTCAAAAAGGTTATATAAATTTTTGCATCAAATCAGATATTAACGATATGTATTTTTTAAAAAAAAAAATTGTGAAGAACATCAAATTAAATCTCGAAACTGTATATTTTTGTTTCAACATTACGAATAAAAACCGTTTTTTAAAGTCTTCAATTACCTTTAATATAATTGAATACCATTATTCAGATGTAATAATATCAAAGAATCAATGTAAAATTCGAAGATCTATTTTTAACATCAAGTTCAAATTGAATCTTACATATTACGACTGGCATTATACAACGAAATGTAAAGGTTGAAAACAACCTTTTTTGTAAGGCTTCAAAAACGAACTTTTTACATGTTAATGTACAATATATAAGATATTTATTTTTAATATTTTTTGGTAGAATTATTTTTTAATATTTATTCACGTATAAAATCAAAAAGTTCAGTAAATGTGAAACTATAGAAGGCTTATAGCTCGAGAATAATAGATGAAGAAAACAGTAATAAATCGATTCTTGGCATGCAACCTTACTCTATGTTGGAACATCTATCACTCGTCTTAAACACAATTAAGTACCAAATCTATTTTGTAAAAAGATTATCTAAGAACAATTATGTATTAAGGGAACTAACAAGATGACCGTTATACCCCTCCTATCTGAACTTTACTACGAAATTGCCCTTACCCCTTTCACTGAACTCGTCTCCTTCTCCACTTGGATCTCTATTCGATCCAAACCAACCACTCCATTGTCTCTCTCTCTCCTTCTCCCTCTCTTTCTCTCTCTCGCACACACATAGATGCCAGCAATGCCAGGCATAGTTTCAGTCAAAACGCCGGCCGATACGCCGCCGCTACGTGTCGCCGTGCCAGACACGCAAACTACCCGATCCGAGCTCTCGAATCCTCCGCGAACCCCAATGAAAAAGACCCCTTCCTCTACACCATCTCGATCTAAACCTTCCCCTGGTAGATCCGGCAAAAAAGATTCACCGGGCGTTTCCTCCGCCGCCGTAGTCGACGCCGACGACCCTTCTCTCGACAATCCAGATCTCGGCCCTTTCCTCCTCAAGCTCGCTCGAGACGCAATAGCTTCAGGTGAAGGTCCCAACAAGGCGTTAGACTACGCGATCCGCGCCACGAAGTCGTTTGAGCGATGCTGCGCCGCCGTAGCTCCGCCCATTCCCGGCGGAAGCGACGGTGGACCTGTTCTCGATCTCGCCATGAGTCTTCACGTTCTCGCCGCTATTTACTGCAGCCTCGGCCGATTCGATGAAGCAGTCCCGCCGCTCGAGCGGGCGATCCAGGTTCCCGACCCGACCCGTGGCCCCGACCACTCTCTCGCTGCGTTTTCCGGCCATATGCAACTCGGTGACACTTTGTCGATGCTGGGTCAGATTGATCGATCCATCGCTTGCTACGAGGAGGGTCTTAAGATCCAGATCCAGACTCTGGGCGATACGGATCCACGAGTTGGAGAAACTTGCAGGTTCATCTCTTGATTTTCTACTCTCAATTAAGCATTTTAATGGTGAATCACACTTTTCCGATTCTTAATACCAACAATCTATAGTGTCAGTATTAATTAAGTTTTAAGGAAAGTTAAATACTTTCGTTAGATCTAACTTGATAGCAAGTAAATCTAAAGGAGTATTGTCTCTTCATTGGTTCTTATATGTAGCTAGCTCAAGCTAATATATTAGTGAGATTCAGAAATTTAGGGTTTATGATCCATTGTTCCAATTCAGCTTGAGCCAAGCTCCTGATCATTTTCAGGTACTTAGCAGAAGCTTATGTTCAAGCAATGCAGTTCAATAAAGCAGAAGAGTTATGCAAGAAGACTCTAGAAATCCACCGTGCGCATAGTGAACCGGCCTCACTGGAGGAGGCAGCTGATAGGAGGCTGATGGCGATTATCTGCGAGGCTAAAGGAGATTACGAAAACGCACTCGAGCACCTTGTCCTCGCCAGCATGGCCATGATCGCGAGCGGGCAAGAATCAGAGGTCGCGTCGATCGATGTCAGCATCGGGAACATCTACATGTCCCTGTGCCGGTTCGATGAAGCTGTGTTCTCTTATCAGAAGGCTCTCACTGT